TAAGAACATCAAACAATTTCTCGGACTTGCAGGTTACTATAGAAGATTTATTCCAAGTTTCTCAAAATTAGCTAAACCCCTAACAAATTTGTTAAAAAATGATACACGATTCGAGTGGAAGTCTGCTCAAGATCAGTCATTTGAAATATTAAAACAAAAATTATGTGAAGAACCAGTGTTACAATATCCAGATTTTTCGAAACCCTTTATTTTAACCACTTACGCTTCAGGAATAGCCGTAGGAGGAATCTTATCGCAGGGAGAAATACACAAAGATAAACCGATAGCCTACGCTTCTCGCACATTGACAGATAACGAACTAAAATATGACACATATGAAAAGGAAGCTCTAGCCATAGTTTATTGCGTTAAACATTTTAGACCATATTTGTATGGACGCAAATTTACACTGGTCACCGATCATAAACTTTTGATGTGGTTTAAGAATGCGCAAGATGCAAATATGCGCATACTTTGTTGGAGATTAAAGTTAGCAGAGTACTATTACAAGGTAATATACAAAGCAGAAAAAACAAATGTAAATGCAGATGCGCTATCCAGGAATCCAGTGAACTTTGGAAATGAAGAATGCAGAGTAATCAAAAATCAGAGACGATTAAATCCGAATAAACCCGAAGATGCAGATCAAATTTCGAAGTGGTTGGAAAGTGAAGACGATGAATCAGAGAATGACGAAAGCGATCTACACTATTCTGACGAAGAAATCGACGAATTTCCATTAGATGCGAATTTGCAGGAGCTCGATGAATCTATTGGTCAATCTATCATCGAAGCACAAATTCATGATCTACCTACAAATAAAATGGAAACACGCAGTCAAGCCGCGAAACGGAGAAATGAAATAGAAGAACGAGAAGTTCCTGAGAGAAACGACCCGCCAGATAAAGAAGATAAAGAATCAGAAAAAAATGAAGAAAGTGAAGTTGAAGAATATGACGAAAAGAGTGAGGAAGAAATCGAAGAAAGGAAAAATGACAGTGAAGAAGAACAAGAAGATGAAAGAAAAGACGAGGCAGAAAGAGATACGATAAAATCAAAGAAAAAACTTAGACCTAACATAATAGACATACAAATAATAAACAATAATATAATTGAATCTTGCGAATTATTATTTCTAATGAAAGATAATGTAATGTACTTTGTCGATATTAATGGANACCCTTTAGATTCCGGATCACAAAAACTATTCGAGCGCAGTGAGTTACCTAATTTAGGAACCCTTGTCCTTGGCGAGGCCAAGGCCATAAAATATAAAACCCGGCACCACATAATTCTAACTATAAGCAAGGGACAACGAGAAGGGCCCACTAAAACTTTATATTTTATTCTGTTGCTCTGAAAGATTCTCTAATTCTAGCCGAAAAATTAAGATTAGAAACACTGAGTGTTGCAAAAACAGACTATATCAATAACGTACCTTGAAGTAATGTCAAATCTTCTTTGCAGTTACTATTTGCCAATACGTCTGTCAAGTTAATNATATGTAACGGGACACTTAAATATCCTCCAAAAGACTTAAGACCTGTAATAATTGGAGAAGTTCATTGTTCTCCTACCGAAGGACATCGCGGCGTAAATAAAACGTATAATCGCATTAAACATAATTACTGCTGGGAAAATTTAAAATTAGATGTTCAACGTTACATACAGCAATCCTTACAATGTCAGTTGAACAAATTAGTTAGAGTAAAGACTAAACAACCTATGATANTTACCGATACGCCCGGCTCAGCTTTTGATAAAGTCGCAATGGATATCGTAGGAGCCCTGCCGGAAACAGAGAAGGGAAATTTATATATATTAACCTTACAGGATCAATTAACGAAATTTTGCATGGGANTACCGTTGCCAGATCAAACCGCAGAAACAATAGCCGAAGCGTTTGGAGACAAATTTATTTGCGTGTTAGGCGCNCCTAAAGCCATTTTAACCGATCAAGGTCAAAATTTTATTAGCGATTTGATGAGGAAAATAGCAAAAATATTCCGAATTCGCAAATTCCGCACAACGGCTTTTCATCCGCAGTCTAACGGATCGTTAGAACAATCACATCACGCGTTGGGCGAGTATTTAAAACAATACGCAAGCGAACAAAAACAATGGGATAGATGGATAGGCCTTGCTATGTTTAACTATGATACCAGCGTACACGAAGCAACCAAATATACTCCGAGTTAGGTTTTGGTAAAATAGCGCGAGTACCCTCTAGCGAACCTCTGGCAATAAATGATAAATTGGAAAGTTATGACGATTACTTAATTAGCCTAGTAACTCAACTTCATAATATTCAAATGAACGCTCGAGAAAACGTTATTGAAGCCAAAAACAGATCTAAGACTTATTACGATCGAAAAATCAACCCACAGATTTTCAGGCCCGGAGATCAGGTATTTTTATTGAAAGGACCCAAACCTGGCAAGTTTGGAGATCAGTATACAGGACCTCACGAGGTCTTAGAAATACTAAATAAAAATAACGTTAGCATTAGAATTAAGAAAAACAGCCGCATAGTGCATTCCAACAGATTGAGAAAATCATATATAAAACCCGGATCGGTAACCTGATTTCGTTTCAGATNGAGTATCGGAGGATAATTACCATTATAATTTTCGTTATTTCCTTGTACGATGTTCAAACAATAATAGGATATGAATGTGGATCGACATCGGCAAATATAACAACACTCTCGCTTTTGAAGAATGCGACATTCCGTTGCCGAGCATGAATACTACAAAAGTTTACATTCAATTACTTCAATTAAACGAATTTCAGTCAGTAAGAGTCTTACAATGCAAAGTCGAAATTGATAGGACAATCCGAAAGTGCGGGATGTTCTCGCACATTATGGATGTTTTCAACGGAAAATATTCATACATTCAAGAAGTATCACGCAAGGCTTCTCAGCGAATGCAGTATTACGGAACGTACAAAATCGCAGGAACGCGGATTTCCGGATTAAAACCTAATTCCACCGAGACGCGTCCAATAATTCTTGCAGGGAAAGTGGATAACGACGGCTCGTGTTCAGGAGGAGCATACTCTAATCCTTATGAAACATGGGGGGAGGTCGTAGTTCTTGGAACTGTAAAAATTACCTTGCAAGATTATGTGGCGGACGTGCGTATAAACACTAATCGCGTGCAATTAAGATCTGGAGTAAATTGTGAATTAAGTGCTCTTCATTGCGTCGGTATCAAAGGAGAAAATACGTACTGGGAACCGGTGCCCGCGGATGTTTGTAAACTTTCATCTTACGGTGTGTTGTACAACGGATATGCTAATAAAATCATTGATACCGGAAGCTCAATGGCACAAACAATTTATTTACTAGTTACACAGGGTACTTTGTTCGCACTCGCTAGCAGGGGAACGTATACAATCTGTGGACACATATTGACCAGAACCGAGCATCCGAAACTAATTATTTTTGAGACNACACCAGGAAGCGAAGCATTTAAAAAACAAACGCAAGTAGCAAANCTGGATATATTCACGTATATGAACTCAAAATTCGTATACGTTGAAAAACATATTAGAACTCAAATAAACGAATTATACAGAAGTATATTGTATCAACAGTGCCACCTNGAACAAAAAATGTTACAAAACTCGTTAGCAATAGCAACGCAGTCACCTGACATTTTTGCTTATAATCTACTGAAAGGACCAGGATACATGGTTTTGCTAGCAGGTGAAGTCATTTACATAGTAAAATGCGTGCCCGTTAAGGTCCGAGTGGCACGAACAGACAAATGCTACAATCATTTACCTGTGAACCGCAGAAATCAAACCTACTTTTTAACTCCACAAACTCACATATTATTACGAGAAGGTACACAAGTCAATTGCAATTTATTTGCTCCATCGATGTATCTCTTAGGAGATGCATGGTATAAACTCGTACGTAAACCAGTAGAATCCCTACCTCTGACCGTAATAAAACCGATGACAAAACCTACGTGGAAATACGTTAGCCTAGGATCATTCGCGACGAGCGGAATATACACCGAAAACGATCTCGCAAAGCTCAGGGATCATATTATGTTTCCCGCCGAGCGGCCTGCTGTACTCAATACAGTTGCGAGAGGCATGCTGGGCAAACCTACGTCTTTAAATGGCGGATCTTTTACCAACTTAATGGACGAGGCGTATATAGAGAAAGTTGCCATTTCCGCCTGGGAGAAATTCTGGACTAATTTCTTTATTTTTGGAAATCTCAACGTAGGCGTAATTGGAATATATCTACTCGGAAGACTTGTCAAGTTATTGATAGATACGATCGTTCACGGCTATGCACTGCATACGATATANGGATGGTCGGTGTATTTAATCGGAGCGGTTTGGGACTTTCTCACCCAGCTCTTATTACACTTGGGTAGAAACAAGCCGGCGCGAGATAACAAGCAAAAGGCTTCGAGCAAAGAGTCAAAACCCATGGCTCCGCCGCAAGAAGAATTTCAAGACGTAAACACTAACTCGTGTGTATATCCACAACTCCCTACACACAAGCCCGCCTATACTCTGGAACTCAAAGGAGTAAATCCCAATGCTTAAATTGCTGAACGTATGTATAATATAAAAACTATATATATATATACATATATATATATATATATATATATATATATAAAATACATAAAACAGAATACACATATAAATATATAAATATAGTCTCAAAATAATATAGAAATATATAATTAAACCAGTACGTAAACGCTATAAAATTTTTATTGTTGCTTTATATAACTCCGACTACTATCAAGGCAGTAAGGAATATTGCAGAACTTTGTAATCTTCTAGAGCAATGGAGATATAATACATAGACGCCCATCTACTCGGCTATACTCCGGTTGAAGTAAGCATCATTCGGGTAATTTTGCCGTCATTTTTCTGGGTTCATCTACAAGCTTCAGAGTAAATTCACGAAATTACTAGAAGAAGTGCAATTGCAGACGCGACAACGAAAACGTGAACTAATCATGTGGCCACAGCAGGTGCAAGAAGGAGGAGTTTACAGCATCGACATAGGTGACAAAACCTGGCAAAGAGGAATCAGAACAAAGGACCTCGGCGAGAATGGAGTCTTTGTTTTTCTTAGAGATTGGGGAACGGTAGTACATCGACAGAAAAACCACATCTATGTATTGGAAGATAAGTTCCGCGAACTACCTTGGCAAGCCATCCCGTGCGGATTAGCTTTTACTGCTCCAGATAATTTTGCGCCTTACTGGTCAAAAAGGGCTAACGTTATGATGCGACTCACTTGCGAAGGAAAAGGGGGGTTGATGCGAGTCAGAGGCATTGCCGGCAACCGCCACAAAGAAGCTTATGTCGATCTTAAGATACAAATGGAAAACGGCGGTGACGCTGTGTACATACGCTCACTGCTTAAGAGTCTCGGTTACACGCGCGACGTTCCAAAAGTGAAAACTGAGACGCAACCGTTTATCGCTGGCATGTCTCAGTAAAGAAGATAAAAAGAAGAAGAAGAGAAGGCGTAGTCCTATTGCGCATGTGTTTATAATCAACTGTAGCGTATTTAATACCAATCGCATACGTGTGCGAGTGACGACTTCGAACGCTAATTGGTTTACCCACGAAATTTTTACTAAACTATTATAAACACACAAACGTTCTCTTATCCTGAGTCGCTAACTACCCCTTCCTTTGCGTCTTTCCCACCTTTTCCCCGGTCGGTTAAGGGCTACTCCCGACTCCGAAAAATTTCCAGGAGACATTCTCCAACAAAAAGTCATAGTGAGCACTTTTGTAAAAAGCACACAAGATGGGCATCACAAACATTGACACCAAGGCGTTAACGCGTGCACTACTGGAAGCCAGGATTTTGAGAGTGGAGTCGCCCTCCAGAATTTGGATTCACCTCGTCAACGGAGAAAAGAGCTTCAAGGAGATGTTGGAGGAACTCGACTGGTGGATGAAGCATCGTCGAGGGCCATTGATCATGTGGCCAAGCTGTGTGTATGTCGGTGCGTTGGTTGCCGTACAAACAGCTAAAGGGTGGCAGCAAGAAGAAATAACGCACGTGATCAACGACGACGATGTGAGGATTGTTTTACGAGATTGGGGGACCCGAGTAACCAGGAAACTGAGAACTGTGTTCCGGCTGCCAGAACAATTTGCCACGGAGAATCGCACGTGGGAGGCCATACCGTGCAGCTTAACAAACATTTTGCCGTTTGGCGGAGGTCAGAAATGGCGCAGTGATGATATACACTTGGCCAAATTCCTGAGCGAAGACCACCAAGCCACCGTAAGGATTCGAGGATCCACGGAAGATGGAGTAGGAGCATACGTGGACCTCACGGTCATCCGAGGAAATGGACACAGTGTAAACCTGCGAAAGTTACTGGAAGACCTCGGCTGTGGATACTTTTGGCCTGCAGTCAATACCGAAGCCCGACCGGGACTACAAGACCTACAACGTTAATATTATACTTATCATTTTATAACACTTAATACTTACATCTACTTATATGCTATATACTTATATACACATCATTTTTATACTCACATACATATCATTTTTTTTTACTAACTCTAATTATATACACTATTACTAACATATTAATACTATTATATAAAAATAAGATAATAAATTAGTAAAGCGCATTAGTACCTAAGCCATAGTTAGTAAGTTTGTACTATGGTGCGAAACAATAAAAACCTTTCTTTGTAAAAGTTAACTCACCATGTTCCCTTACCTTCTAGCATAAAATAACTAATAAGTTAGTCGTAAGGAAAAAGAGAAAGAAAATAAAAGAAAAAAGGGGGACTAAGTAAAATTTAAAAAATAAATAAATAAAAAAATAAAAAATATATAGAGGTAACAGTAATAAAAATGTACTCTAAAAAAACACAAAAAACAAAAAAACAAAAAAAAACAAAACAAAAAAAACAAAAAAATTTATAGTAATAATAATAATAACAATAGTAATAATAATAATAATAATATTAATGTACAAAACACAACTACACATGTGTGTCCATGTGTGGGTGCGTATATGTATGTATGTTTGTATGTGTGTATATGTGTGTATGTGTGTGTATATATATGTGTGTATATATTCACATATACATAGGTGTGTAAGCACATGTATGAGAAGTGATTAGTATAATAGACACATTGATAGTAGTAATGGGAATAATAAAATAAAAAGTTCTAGAGTTGGGAAGAACCACGAAGCAAACCACGCAAAGAAAACCACGCTTGAAGACACACGCTTACAAAAACCATCGCATTCACACACACAGTAAAAAAGGCTGATTGTTACAGTTACACCAATATGAGGGCCGCCTGATCATCATCTCATTCAAAAACAAAAAGAGAGGCGAACAATGAAGGAAACGTCTTTGCACCACACTATCATATGTCACGATAACGCTTGACGTTAGGAATAAACAAACACGTTCCGCAATCACTACACACTCATGAGCGATATTAGAAGAGCAATAAAACTATTTTAAACCAAAGATTTCAGCCAGACGATAAAAGCTTTCAGAAAATGGATGATCATGCGACCGCCATAAAATTTGAAACCGATCACACTGTTTTTCTTTGCCATAAGTCTCGCGCTCGCTCTTGGTTCCGTTCACATATACATACATATTTTATGTATGTATCTGTTCACCTCATACATTTGTGGCAACTTCAAGGTTTCATATTCAACTAAAAGAGTTGCATTCAAACACAAGCTAAATTAAAGCATTTGATCGTCAATTGCAGTACTAAAATGCTGAGACATCAACCCGGAGACAAATTTCTGCGACAACTTCGATGTGTCACCCCTACAGTAGGGAGTGGCATTCACTTAGACACCGTTCAATTGGACACGTTGCAATTAGACACGTTGCAAATAGACACAGAATTTTAGACACGGTTCAATTAGACACGGTGCATTTGGACACGCAAGAAAATTCGCACCGTTCATTTAGACACCGTTCAAATGCGCACCGTTCG